TGGTTACAAAGGTGATTACAGTTCCAGTACTAAGATCTCAAACTTCATTTGAGGTCGTTCTCGACCACAGCACGAAAGAAAACCTATTATCTTCCTGTTTTCGCTTTTTTTGCGAGTGCACAAAAAATTTGTTCATTTGCCCTTCCCACCGACTTTGCGACCCATCTCGTACTTCTCGGAGCGTCTCTTGGTCTATCGTGGTGTTTACGCCTTCACTGGGATGCCACTGTAATCCGACCTTTCGGTATTACTCATTCACACATCATCATTCTACCTACTGGTTGCGCCTGGGCGGCTGTGTCTTCCGTGAGTTAGAACCAATATTCCTTTTAATTTCGATCACCTCTTTGCAAATTATTTTCGCTGTTACATTCTAACAAGTTTTTTTGTTCCAGTTCAGTTTTTCTTTAGTTTTTTTTTGTAACAAGGTTTCCTTTGCTTTTTGGTGATTTGCTCAGCAGTTTGCTTGGTTTCCTAGTAAATCGACTGCATAGTAGGTAGATCAAAGATCATAAAACATGCCACCCAAAGGTACAGCGCTCCAAGAAAGCTTCTGGTAGTTCCTCCTCTCAGCCAACTTTTAGTGCAAATAATAGACAAGCTGGTCCATCTGCGCCTACAAATTTCGATAACATGTCGGCGGTTGAATTATTGAAGAACATCATCGATCTCAATCAGGACCCAACTATCGGAAACATGCTTATTGCTTTGTCGCAGAAAATTCCTAAAGAATTTTCGGACTTCCTCGAGAGTGAGAAACGGGGTCGGAGCATTGTCATTGCAGGTCTCGAAGGAGGCACAAGATAGTCTTCCGCCCCTCCGAACGGCAAACGGACCTCGAGAATAAGGTGCACAAGGTTCTGGACGTCTTGGATGTGGAATGCCGTCCAAATGAAATTTATCGGATGGGTAAATCGGACTCCGATCGCCCCCGTTTGGTTAAAGTAGTACTGCCTTCCAGGTCACACTGGCGACGTGCTCTCGCTAATGCCCGTTTCCTTCGCAATGCTGGACTGCCTAATGTTTTCATCAGGAGGAGCATGACGGTGGAAGAAAGAAAACGCGAGTATGAGCTACGCCAGGAGGCGCGCGATCGCAACAAAGGCAAGGTTGTGCGCGAGTGGGTTGTCTATCAAGGGCAGTTGAAGCACACGTCTGAATTGCCGTCTAGACGGTCGGGAAACCAATAATGTCGCAGGGCAACTTGGCCCTTGTTTGTCACTTACTCAATGCCCGCAGTTTGTCCAATAAACTTGAACACTTACACGCCTATCTCGCCCACCACGAACCCGACCTCCTCTTCATAACGGAAACTTGGCTCAGTGACCGAATTCGCGATTCTGAAATTTTGAGTGATTTACCATACTTGCTGTATCGACTGGATCGGAAAGAGCGTAGGGGTGGTGGGGTATGTTGCTTGGCTAAGGGCAATCTCTGCGTTTACTCTGTTGATCATGTAACCCCAAACAAGGCTGACGTGCTCTGCTTAGAACTATTCTGTCCGCACAAAGCAACTCGTGTTCGCTTCTCGGTCGTTTACCGTCCTCCGAATTCAACCAAGAGTGAAGATGAAGAGTTGATAGAAGCCTTACAAGACATCATCTCAGCTCAGGCGAACAGTGTAATTTTAGGCGACTTCAATTTGCTCATTGACTGGGATAACCTTCGTGCACTCAATTCATCTTCAACCAGGTTCCTTGAATTTTTCCAACAAAGCTTCTTGCAACAGCACGTCTCTCTACCGACTCATGAAAACAACGTACTTGACTTAGTTCTATCTACTTTTCCCAACGTCAGCGAAGTCTCAACTGCCCCTCCGCTCGCAAATTCGGACCACGCCTCTGTACGTTTTAAGTTGTTGGAGGAATTTAGGAGCGATTTCGCTTTGCCTTCTCCAGATTTCTCGAAAGTCGACTACAAACGTCTCGATGCCCACTTTTCGAACATTGAATGGCTCACCCTGTTTGAACAATATGATTCGATGGATGATATTTACCGTAGGTTCTGCAGAATTGTCTACGATGCGTTGGGGCTATTTGTGCCGTTTAGGTTCCCCAAGTTGCAGCCAGTTAGGTATCCGTTGCACATAAGGAACTTGCTGGCTCAGAAAGAGCGCCTTTTCATGGATTTGGAAGCTCCTCTGAGGAGCCCGTTGTACAAGAAAGTCTGTTTCGATGCTGATCGCCATTTGAAGAAGTTTTTCTCAAATATGGAGCGCCGATTAGGAAAGCAAGCTTCGCTGAAGCGTCTGCACCTATACCTTCGTAAAAAATTCAATTCCAAGCCGGGTCTTCCCACCTTAGAGGATCCTTCTGGTACCAGGCTCCATGTAGATTCCGCCAAGGCTGAAGCTCTGGGTAGATATTTTGCTGGAGTATTTTTAGCCCCTTCCCCCAGTAGTGATGGTGACCTGGAAAAAGTGGCAATCGTCCCTCAATGCGGTATTCCGGATATTTACTTCCACCCAAACGATGTCCGCTCTTTGCTCAAAAGGCTGAAACCTTCTCATAGCGAACCTTTTGATGGAATACCCCAGATAGTTTATAGGAAATGTCACTACTCTCTATGTAAGCCCCTTGCATACATGTTCAATATTTCATTTCTGCTAGGTCAGGTTCCCCAGATCTGGAAGGAAGCCATTATAACGGCAATCCCCAAGCATTCGAGTGCCACCGCTGTTAGTGATTACAGACCGATCAGCCTTGTTCCAACGCCGGTCAAAGTCATGGAAAAAATGGTTTTTAATAAGTTATTGGCCTGGTTCAACCGTCTAAACCTTATTCCCGCGGAGCAGCATGGTTTCCTACCTGGAGCTTCAACCTGTACCAATCTTATTGACACTTTGTATGACGTTTGCAGAGCTGTTAACCAGGGGAAGTCAGTGGATATAATTCATCTCGACCTGGCTAAGGCCTTTGATAGAGTTTGTCATCAAAAACTCCTGAGCAAACTGGAGTGTTACGGTATCCGTGGCAAGATACTTGACTGGATAAGGTCTCTTTTACAGCACAGGAACATGACTGTTCGAGTCAGGACTAGTTTCTCTGAAAAATTTCCCTGTACTAGCGGCGTCCCGCAAGGAGGGGTTCTGTCCCCCTTGCTGTTCCTGATTTACACTATTGAGCTGCCCCGGGTTCTTAAGACACATTCAGACATTCATGTACAAGTTTATGCAGATGACATCAAAGTATACTGTGCATATGAAGATGAGAACAATTTCGCTTTGCAAGATGCGCTCAAAATGTCAGTCGAAAGAATGTGTGAGTGGGCAACTTTGTGGGACATACCCCTAAACCTAAACAAATGTCTGGTTATGCATTTCGGAGAGAGCGCAGCTGTCGAGTATGTAGTTAAAGACGTAAAGCTTCCAACATGTGCTTCTACTAGAGACCTTGGAGTCGATTTCGATTCTAACCTAAAATTTGTTTAGGTTTAGGGGTATCCATCAGATTGACCGCAGGTCGTAAGAAGGCGTATTCTGCACTTTTCATGCTTATGAGGAACATACATTGCTCGGATCCATCCATTCTTCTGCGCCTATATAAAGCTTATGTCTTACCTCATCTAGAGTACTGCTCACAAGTTTGGAGTCCCTCTCTCAAGAGAGACATACTTAAAATTGAAAGGGTCCAGCATGTGTTCACTCGGCTGCTCTGGTACAGAGTCACATCCTGTACTGGTAGGCATGATGAATCACGTCATGTGTTGGTTCCACCTGCTTATCATGTTAGACTTAGATTGTTTTCATTGCGCTCATTACAGTACAGGCGAGTTCTTTCCGATTTGGTATTCTGCTTTCGTGTTCTTAGGAAGGAAGTCAAGGCTGTCGGCCAGTAAGTATTGGTGTTTTAGGCCTACGAGCACTAGACATGGTGGGTTTAACCTTCACTACCCTTACATATATCCCAAAAATTATTCCTTAATGTTCAACATTATTTTCAATCGTTGCGCGAGATGGTTTGAGCTTCTACCACCTCAAGTTCTCCAAGCGCCTGATAGCAAGGCTTTCAAAAGTAGGCTATGCAAGCTCGACCTCTTGCGCACTTTGAAAATCCCTGAATTAGTTTGATTCTCTCTTCATTTTTCGTTTCAGTCGCAGAACTACCTACTTGGTCAATATGGATTTATTTCCTGTGGCCACCCTGTGCCGAACGACAAAGCCTTTGCCTTGTTTCACACGATGGCTCTCCCACCCGTCTAGAGAATTAATCCTTACTCCGGGGACTCTTTGTGATTCCGTACCCACACAGATTTAGACTTCATTTGTTTGACTATTTTTGAAACCCCTTCTTCTTGACTGGTTTTTGAGCTTAAAACTTCGGGAGCAATAAGCCGAGTAGTTGTGAGTTTTCTTCTCGAAAATCGTGGGCTTCAGCTGTGAAGGTCAGTCGTTTGAGGAACCCGAAGGATGATGAACCCGCTCGCTCGAGGTCCCCCTCGGTTTGTTCGCCTGGGGTCCCGGACGAATTCGTTCGTAACGGGTTAAGTTGTCAGCAAGCCCCAGTACTGTTGTCACCTCTCTGCGTTCTGGACCAAGGACCAGGATCTCGCGGGTGGACCCTTTCATCTACCTGAAGGGGAAAATGACCTTATCATCCTGTCACAATGATGGTCCCGCTTCTTATTTCCTCTAGAACTTCGACTCACAGCCTATTACTTCGCTCTTGTTCCCTGTGTTTAGGCCTTTATGTTTGTGTTTGTTTGTGTTTGTTTGTTTGTGTTTTGTTTTGATTTTGTTCTATTTTCAATTCTTCACTGTGTGTTGCGTATTTAGATTTTTTTCCCTGGGCTATGGCACACCCTCGGGTGTATTCAAATAAATAAATAAATAAATAAATAAAATAAATTGGGAAGAGA